GGGCGGGCTGGGAGAGATCAATGGGGGATAAAAGAAATATATGTACTACTTTCAACAATAAAGATTAAAAAAATAAAAGATTGTAATTTGAATATAGTGAGTCCCCCACATTATTGGTGGAAAGATGATGATGTTTGCATGTTTATTCTCTGGCTTGGCTGAAGTTTGATACCCTTTTCAAGTCTAGTCGAGAGCAAGAACATGGAGGCTGGTGCCCAAGGCAATGGCCGGCCGCAGCGGCCAGCAGATGACATTCGGGAAGAGGCACAGCCTTGCACAGGAGGAAGGCCACCCCGATGGGGTGAGCAGGAGAGTGGGTGGAGCACAGAGGATTTCAGGGCCATGAAACCCCTCTGGGTCATCACGCGTCTGTCTCAACCCATAGCATGAGCAGCACCGGGCGTGAGCCCTCACACGGACTGTGGGCTTCGGGTGACACGACCTGTCAGTGGAGGTTCACCACTGGAATAAGGTACCCCCTGGGGGGGTGTTGACAGTGGGGGGGGGCCTCTGCACCTTACTCCCAGTTTAGCTGTGAGCCGAGAACTGCTTCAGAAGATAAAGCCCGCGGAGTGGACTTTTCCCCGAGAGCCCCATGGCCCACTAGGGTCTGCCGAGAGCAGCGTCCCACGGGGTGGCCTGTCCACAGATCCCAGCTGCAGTGGCCCCTCCCCACTCCCAGGACCCCAGAGAGCCCCCAGCTCCACCCTCTCACGTGTACAGAAGTGCTCACAGCTCCAGACCCGAGACTTTCCCGGTGAACCTGACCCCGGCCTTGGGGTGGGGCGTGGAGGTCCCCGCCCTGAATGTCAGGGTTGATCAGGAAAAGGACAGCGCGGCTCACCTGCCCGAACACGGCCACGCGCGTCCTGTCAATGTACGGCTCCTTTAGCATCGTCCTGCGGAGCGGAGAGGAGGCAGGTTAGTCACAGCGTGGTGATGCCGGCATCGCCGGGTCCAGGGCGTGCCTCTGGCCGTCGCGCGTGTGGCAGTCTGTGCATGTGCCACCTCGGGGGGCCTTGTGAGGCCTCTGGAGGGTGTCTGGGTCCCTGGGCTTGCCGGAGCCCTGAGTGCAGAGCCGCCAGGCCCGGGGCTCCAGGCCCCAGGGGTCCCTGCCCTCTGTGTCACCTTCACTCAGACCACGTGACTCCCAACCACCCCAACGCTGGGAGGGGCTCCTGGGTCACCAGAGTCAAAGGGGGCTCCAGCTCTGTGTGCAGGGCTGGGGGTCAGGGCGCTGGGCTCCCCGCACCTGAGGCGTCCTCTGTCCCCAGCTCCTGGGAGGGGGTCCCCGCCTTGTGCTTCCTTTAGTCACTGCTCCTCTATTACCAGTTTGAGTGTTTCTAGCATCCTCCTCGTCCGCTTCCCCTCCTGCCCCTCCACAGCCCCCGCCTGTGCCCAGCATGACCCCAGCCTTTGCTCCCAAAACATTCTGTTTGGAATGGGCATCCCCATTACCTGCTGGCAAAGCCCTGCCTGTCCTTGGGGTGAGGTCTGGCCCCCAGGAGCCCGTCCACTGCCTCCTCTGTCTGGCCCAGCTTGTGCGTCTGAGGCTGTGCCCACGCCAGCTGTTCCCATGACTGCCCCTTCCCTAGCTCAGTGGCTGAGCCTGTGAAGGGACTTTGCGATTGTCACCTGAGGAGGACAGTGCCACATGGGCCTCAGGACGAAAGCAGGATGGGGAGGATGATGCGGGAACCGTGGGACGATCGGGAGCTGGGTGTTGGCCTGGCCTTGTGGTTGCTTAAATGAATGAAAGGGCTCTCTCTCTGATGCATGAAAGCACAGACCTGAACCCTACACAGAGCTTAGCAGAGTTTTCTTGGACTTGAACTATTGGGGCCTCAGCTTCTGAAAAGCCTGCATGCTTATGGTGGCCGTGACTGTGCGGTGACCATGGGTGCGTGGTGGCCGAGGGTGTGCGGTGTCTGTGGCTGTGCGGTGGGGTGTCCGTGGGTGTGTGGTGGCCGTGTGTGTGCGGTGGGGTGTCTGTGGGTGTGTGGTGTCCGTGGGTGCGCGGTGTCCGTGGCTGTGCAGTGGGGTGGCCGTGGGTGCGTGGTGGCCGTGTGTGTGCAGTGGGGTGGCCATGGGTGCGTGGTGGCCACGGGTGTGCAGTGGCCGTGGCTGTGTGGTGGGGTGGCCGTGGGTGTGCAGTGGCCATGGCTGTGCAGTGTCCGTGGCTATGTGGTGGGATGGCCGTGGGTGTGCAGTGGCCATGGCTGTGCGGTGGGGTGGCCGTGGCTGTGTGGTGGCTGTGGGTGTGTGGTGGCTGTGGGTGTGTGGTGGGGTGGCCGTGGCTGTGCGGTTGCCATGGCTGTGTGGTGGCCATGGGTGTGCGGTGTCTGTGGCTGTGCGGTGGGGTGGCCATGCATGTGCAGTGTCCATGGCTGTGCGGTGGGGTGGCCGTGGGTGCATGGTGGCCATGGGTGTGCAGTGGCCATGGCTGTGTGGGGGGCAGGGGCGGG